CTTAAGGTGGGACTAGAACTCACCATCTCTTGGTTTCTAGCTTGGTGCCTTTACCACTATACCAAACTGGCGCTCCTAGCTGTTTTTATTGGCGAAGTTTCCAAAATATTGTTATGTTATGGTTTTAGCTCTATTTTCTATCCTGTACTTTGGGATTGTGAGAGCCAGTCATACATACACACACACACACACACACACACTTTGGGATTATCAAAAGCAGACACTGTGTTTTTTAAAATCAGTATTTTCATAGTTTTGCTACAGTTGAAGAAAGCACCTTTCCATTTTGGAATTTATCAGTGAAGGAGGAAAATAATGGCCTGGATGAACAAACAACTGGTTTGAGTCAGTATAAGGCAGTGTCTTACGTTCTAAGCATAAAACTGTTTTCTGTTCAAGGGTGTATTCTAGTCCATGGCTAGAGTTTAGGTTAATCTCACAGATCATTCAAACAAAGAAAGGTGAGCTCAGTCCCATGTATAAACATGCTGTCACCTGAGTCTTATGCCCAGAATGACCACTTAAACATCAAGAGAAAAAAGAAGAGTTGCTGTATATAAAAACTGTAAATGTTAATCCATATATATGATGCAGGTCTAATATAATGGTAAATTAAGAGAAATACAATACTGCCTACCATACTGGAAAATATTTCAGCCAGGTAACCTAGGTGCTCACTTATTCCACTGTCCAGGTGCTATGGGTGGATATATTTCAGATTCTCCTCTCTCTTGTGGCTAATTATCTTGAAACCAAGATTGAACTTTCAAGCAGAGGGCATGTAAAGTAGGCCACTCAGCCACACAATCTGGACAAGTTTTGTTTCCAAAACATAAGCATATACTTACATGTACACTTACTCTCTCAATAAAACGTAATACAGAAATGCCCAACTAAAAGGCTTGCATTCCACAGAAGATAAGGAACTAGAATTTGGTCAGGAACATAAGTTTATTAGATGTTCAAGGACCTAACAAGGGCTTAAAGAAATGAGCAAAAAACAAGAGAATAAGACTCAGCTGTGGGTCAGTAAACAATTCCATGTTGGGACAGATAGTAGCTGCTGCGTCGGAATAAGAAGTTGTAGGGTATGGAGAAATAAGCCTGCCCAGTCAGGAGATGTTATGGATGGCCGCAGACAGGCAAAAGAGCAAGGCTAGCCTGACCGTTAGGTTTCCATGTACGGTACAGGAACATACAACTCTTCCCTGTGTTCTAATTTTTCTGCTTAGAGACTATGCCTTGCTTTTTAGTTTGTTCTCCGTTACCTAATCAAATATTAACAAGTATACGTGCTTTCCTTGCTCCCAAGAGATCTCAATCTTTGTGAGATGCTACTAAGCACCTAACAAATATAGCATTTTTAAATATCATTTTGAAATTCTACAGAAACCTAGGCCAACTCAAAATTCCAGCCATCCTACAGTCAAGCATGAAGGAGAAATAGATCCAGCTCCTCAATATTACCATTAAAATGCCAAATACTCTCTTTAAATTATTTTGTTAAACAGTGCCTTCTATTAAATACCAAGCTTCTTTGCCCTGAAACTTAATATCAAAGCAAAGGCACCTTTTTGACCTTTACATAGTTTTCAGAAAGGAATAGCAAAAGTGTCCAAAATGAGCATTCTTCTGACTGGCAAATTAAAAGAGAAAAGATGTCACATTGCAAGGATAAAAAAGGGAAACAGGATTCAAGCTGTCACCTACCTCAAATTGTAAAGAAGAGTGCATGAGTTTGTTCTGGTGTTGTCAGAAGGGCAATAGACGGAATTTAAGGAAACACAAAGGGCGCCATCTAAATCATCTCCAAAGTAATTCTGCCACACCAAGTAACGAGCAAGACATTATGAGTTTAGCTGTTTTCTTATTGTTCCAAGACCTCATGACTACAAAGAAGTATCTATGAAACAAAACAAGCCTTTGAACCAAAGCTATAGAATAGAGTAGTGCTGGGGTTAATGTGTTGAACTGCAACTGGGAAGACCTAGGTTCACATCCACCCTAGGTCATGGAAGCTCATTAGGTGACTTTGGATCAGTCCTTTTCTCTCAGCCCAACTTTCCTCATAAAATTGTTGCTGGGAAGAAAGTTTGGAGAGTGTGTGCTAGAAATGCTGGTGGGAGCTGATGGAAAAAGATGGGAGATAAATCAAATAAATAAAAAAGGACCTGTTTTTTGCGGGGGGGGGGAGAAGAGAAGCTGTTAAGTCTCGTAATTTTAAAATCAGTGGTATCAATTATTTTTCAGAACCTAATATCCCTTTTCTGTCTGCCTTTGATAGTATATATGCTGTGAAGTGAAAGTTCACAAATCTTGCATTGGTGAGCTTCTCTAAATCAAGTTAAAACTTTTAGGAGATTCCCAATAAACAACAATGGGTACAGTTATGTCATAAACATGTGATCCCAATTTAGCCTTGGGGACTATGGTTTTATGGGGGCCATAAGATTTCTCTAATCTAGTCTACCTTGAGGGACAGAAAGTACATCTAACTGTAGTCATATTAATCCAGGAGCAGAATGGTTAAAGGAAAAAGAAAGAAAACTACACAGACTAAAGAATGATGCAAGTCAGATTCTTGCACATTTATCTTTTTGGCCAATTGTGCTGCCTTTTAGTACAAAACCCCAGTACTAAAGTGATTGGGAAATGCTGGAGGGTGAATTAGTAGTCTGCCTCTTTAAATATCCAGGAAAGTCTCTCCATTCTCTGGGAACTGCTGTGCCCTATTCCTTTCCCCAGGAATATTGGCCAAAGTCAGTATTTCAGCACTGTCAAGCTCACCCACATACAAGTACCTTCAGAAGTTAGTATCTTAACCGAGGGGTTATTTTCCTGACATGACTTCTTCACATGGCTCTGAATATTCTTGTTTTAACATCAAAAACTTTCTGGAATCGATCAGAGCATACCCAGGGAGGTATTCCTCTCCACCCAACACACTGAAACCTTATAATTTGCCAAACGTGTGCAATGTATTCTATTAACAGTAGTGGAACATTGGTAAATAATAATAACAATACTCTTTATCATTTCATTTCAAGTCCTTGCCCTCAAGTACTGAACCAGGAGGAAGGGTGAGGGCAAGCAGAGTTCTAGAACATCAGGCAGAGTTCTACCTCCAAAACAGGAACATCTCTGGCTGCCACCGTGGGATGGAGGTAGAAGAATACAGTGCTGGGAAAGGAGGGCTACTCTTAGGAGATCAGGATACCCCTTCTAGTCAATTCCTCGGTGTAGCTTGAGATGGCGGGAGAGGTTGCTCAGGGTGATGAACCCTTTGTGGCAGACAGTGCACTTGAAAGGACGCTCCCCGCTGTGCAACAGACGGTGCCTTTTCAGGTAACATTCATGCCGGAAGAACTTGCCACATTCAGTGCACTGGTAGGGTTTCTCACCGGTATGCACCAAGACATGACGGTCCAGATCTCGGGGACTGCGGAAGTATTTCTCACACTCGCTGCACTTGTAGAGTTTCTTACTGGGCTGAGTTGGGAATGTCCGAAGATCCAGTTGTGGCAAGAGGTGACGTTCCAGCTCGCTGCCTGGGGCTGGCACTGGCGCTGGGGACACAGCGTGGCTCAGCTGATGCTCCTCCAGCGCCTGCAAGTTCACAAAGGGCTGGCCACATATGCCGCAAGTGAAAGATGGCTCGCCCCCGTGGGCAGTCAGATGAGCTGCAAGGGTATTGCTGTTGGCGAAAAAGGTGCCACACTCGCATTGGTACAGGGTGTCTGTGGGACGGGCATCGGGAGAGTGGCAGGATGGACAGCCTCTACTGTGCCGCCGGGTCTCCTCCTCCTGCTCACCTCCTCTCTGCTGTTCCTCCACACCCTTCAGTTCCAACATCCCATCCCTCTTCTGGGCTTTCTCAGAGCAAAGATGACACGGTGGGGGCCTGTCCTTGGCGTGAGTGAGTTTATGGCGTTCCAAGAGGGACGCAGCATTGAAGTCTCTTTCACAGTCCGGACATTTAAAGGGTTTGATGTCAGTGTGAGCCAGCCAATGGCGGCGGAGTTCAGAGGCTAACTGGAAGTGCCGCCCGCAGGCCCCACAACCGAAAGGGGCCGCCCGGCCTCGGCCAGCAGCACAGAGGTGCCCCAAGGGGCTCTGCTCTTTGCCGCAGGCCAGGCAGCGCGGGGTGGGTGTCTGAGGGGCTGCGGTGGCAGGAGACGCCCGGTGCTGTCGCTTGAGGTGGCGGCCCAAACTGCTGCGGGAGGAGAAACGGAGCTCACAGATGTGGCAGCAGTAGGGCTTCTCTCCGGTGTGCACCACCTGATGGTGAAGAAGTCCTGTGGAGTCCCGGAAGCCTTTGGGGCACATGGTGCAGCGGTAGGGGCGCTCCCCCGTGTGGCTCCGGATGTGGTTCACCAAGTTGAAAGAATGCTTGAAGCTTTTGACACAGTGAGGGCACTGGAAAGGCTTCAGTTCGGTGTGTCGGGCAAAATGGCGCCGTAAGTCGGAACGGTAGCGGAAACTCTTGTCACATTCGGAGCAATGGAAGGGGGCCCGGGGGCCTGCTCCATTGACTGTCAAGAGTGAGGGGTCATCCTCAGCATCCGAGTAGAGAACAGCACACTCTTCCTCAGTTCCAGTGGCAGTCCGAACACCTCCCGGAGCCTCCTGGGAATGCTGGCCCTCTGGCCACGCTTCATCACAGTTCTCCATTTACCCAATGTACTTCTAGAGAGCAGTAAGGAGAGAGTCAGAACTGAGGGCGTCCTCAAGCCATTGAGCCCAAATCCCAAATAAGGGCAGCCCCCTTCTCCCAGTGTAAACCCATCATCTGGACAGTAAACAAATGTAAAAAGTGTCTGCAGAACAAAGAGCTGCAGGTAACTCATTGAAGAGGCTAGGAAAAATATTGCGGGAAGCTAGACATATGGAATTGTTGGGTTGTCTGAGATTCCCTTTTCATGCTGCAACATGTATAATTCAGGATGGTTTAATTAAGGTAAGGCTCAGGTTAATGTTTTTACTTCCAAACAATGGAAACAAGTCAACGTTTTTTGGAAAATTCTCAATTCTGGTCAATGCCATCAGATTTCCTGCACTAGGAGATAATATTAAATATAGATGTAGGAAATCTCCAGAGTTCAAATCTGTTCCTGGCCATGACAGGTCAATTGACTCAGGAAAATCCTGATCTGTGCTCTTGGTGTAATGGGGCACTGTAGAAAACCAAAACTTTCTACAGAAGCAGGGCTGCAGAGGGATGTGATATAGCAGAAAAGTTACCAGGTTTTCATTCCTCACTTTCTTGAACGGAATGAAGGGTTCTAGTCTTTTTGGCCCCCAGAAAAAAACACCCAGATTTGTGGTTACAAGCTTGAAGCAGAAAGTAACCCCTTGCCCTCCAAAGTGCCCAGAATTCCTCGCACTACTCAGCCAACGCTTTCTCATCCTATACCAGGCTATTCTACCCTAGGTTGCTCTTTCAAAAGTTGAAGCCAGAACTCCTATTTCATATTCAAGATGTTCACCTCTACACCAACCCCAATCTTCTAACCGACGCACAAGAAGAAAGAGAATAATTTATGGAGCGCAGATCTTTGCTGTTTTCCGTAATATGCAAATAGAGGGAGGGACGAAATAACCGAAAGGGGACAAAAATTTTAAACAGCACCTAAATCAACGCTCACATAAAATATTAATTTTGGCTGAACATGCTGCTCTTTCTTCAGCAGCCTGTTGTGGAGGCAATTTGCTTCGTTTTCAGGCTGAGGGAGCAGAAAAATATTTGAGAAGAGACCGAAGTTAGACCATCCACTCCTTTCCTGAGAATCCAGAGCCCCAGCGTCCCCGTGTAACTTCGCCACTTCACCTTCGCCGCGTCTGTTCATGCCCTCTGTCATTAACCCAGAAAAACGAACACAGCCCAGCTTCCGGGATCGTGACAACTAACACCTATATCCCCGTATCCTTCATCACCAGACACGGTAAAAGAAATCCACCCCCCTCTCTTCTTGGCTTCGAAGCCCGGGCGGAAAGGACACTCCTGGCAATTCCTCTACGCTGAAAACACCGAAGAGTTTCTGGACCATTTCAAGCAGCCTCCCCACCCCGACGCCCTCCAGATCTCCTGGGCTGCCGTCCGCATAACCTCCAGCCAACATGGCTAACTCTGATTTTCCCAGCCGGTTGAAGTCCAACTTTTGTCTGGACTCCGCCAGAATTTCGGGGGCGGGGGGGCGGATGGACGCGGTCTCACCCGCACTTTCTGGACCACGGTCCACTCGCCGCATCCGAGGCAGGGAGCAGCGCTGCGGGGCAGAAGCAGCTTGCGGGGATAATAGCCTCTGCCTTTTGCACACGCACTTTTAGGGAA